TAGCCACATAGTATAATATGCACGAATAATTTATCGTATCAAATAGTTCCGATGGCCCTTTACAACATTGTTTAAAACAGTGTAAGCCAGGGTGTTTATTGTTGTAGATCAGTAGCGCAGATCGAAATATAATTTTAATTACATACTATACGGTTAAGTTTTTTTTTCAAAAATATAGTGGAATCAATGTTCGAAAAACTATGCGGAAAATAATGTTAAATGATATTAACCATCGAACGATCTAACTTTCGCTGTAGTATTTCTTATCGCACGAGAGGCCTCGCCATTTTATTATATATACGTCTAAACCGTTGTAATTGTTTGTTCGGTGTTCGATAATAATATACTAATAAATCATATTTCCCAAAACGTGCCGTTTATGCGAGCTTATATATATATATATATGAATATGTGTAATAAAAATATATATTACGTCGCGTAATATTTTAGGAGAGAAAAATTATTTTTATTATATTACAATGTGCTCGTGGGCGTACCTACATGTGGTCTTTACCCATTGTAAGCATTGAATTTCTCACACAAAGAGAGCCTCTTAGGGGATTTAGTATGCGAGTGATATTTGTTGGGTACAGACTTATGCGCACGGAATAATACCGTTTCAACGTGAAACCAACATCGGCTGATTTACCGTCGACTGGCTCTTGTGTACACAAACTGTTCGATGAATATGGAACCCGAACGCACATATTTTTTATACGTTACTATTCACCAACTAATATAACTAATATAATTTTAATTTTGTAATAACATCAGGTGCTCTGGAACATTTTGAAATTAATAAAAAAAAAAAAAACGTTTTAAGAATGTTTATACGGAACGAGCATTCTATACAATATTATATACAAAGTAGTACCTACACAATTCATCTTTCGGAGAGCATATTATATTGATGAACATTCCAGATTATACGTGATAGAGTTACTTCAAGAGAACTTATTTTAAAAGGGCAGTATTTTTACTGCTTATCATAACAACCAGTTTTTTTTATTTTTATTTTTTTGTGACAATTAATAGGTAATCAAAAATTTAAATAGAATTTATACTGCTCAATGTATTATTATATTCGTTTGGTTCATATTATAATTTAACATATTATAATTATGTATGATAGTGTCGCCAAGCTAATTGCAATCAATAGTAATGATTGATCACATTTTTATCGTATAAAACCAGTATAGTTGATTTGATACAACCTAGAATTCATGATAATATAAAATATGACATTAAACAACTAGAGTCCAATGGCCAAGTGAATATTCTATCTAAATATTTCAATGTTGATTTTTTTTTTAAACTATCGCTTACATGATGGGTTAAAATGTGGATCTACGACCAATAGGTATTTTAATGTTAGTTATGTTACCTATATCGGTTGTAGACTACAATCAGTTCTTTTCTATATTTTCCTCGTGAGATTTTTACATATACATAAAATTTATTGGGAGTCAAATTTTGAGTAAATATTAGTTTATGTTTCTAAATAAATAAGAGTTGAATTGTTATAATTCATTTTTTCTTATTATTCGTGTGAATATTAGCCATTTGGGAAAATTATTTTCAAAAAAAATGTACATGGTTTTTATTCAATTAAATAAAATAAATAGTTTGTATCAACATTTATAGTGCTTGATGAATTATAATATTAAACCTGATTAAAGTGTAAAAAAGGAATTTTGAGCACTTAGTGGGTGATTTTTTTTGTAATATATTTTTATTATTTGTACATTCATAAGTATTAAAAAATGTATGTACAACAACGAAAAAAAAAAGTAAATACTTTTAAATAAGGTTCGATGATTGGATTTCTGCAATGCGCTGTCTAAATATTTTTAATGTTATTCGTTTTCACGGAAAATATTTATGGTATCGTTCAATTTAAATAATTATGCATAATAAATATAAGTGTATCGCCGAATGACAGATTAAATACAATTCCACGATAAGCAATTTAGTTGCTACGTTCAAGACTACGGGTTTATGTGTAATTATAATGAATATAAATATTATTATCGTTGTTAGTAATATCAGTAATAGCCGAACCAGTTGTGACGGGTTAAATCGGTAAAATGAATGTTCGCCGAATCTCCTTTTCATTATTTTTTTTATTTTTTTCATATTATAATCCATTTCACTTTCAAATGTTTCAGAATGTCGTGTAGATGAACTCTTAAAAGTTTGGTTACACGTCTTCGTTCGAGTGGGCTCTTTTGCTGTCGAAGAATGTGTCACGATATCTCATCGAGATTTCAGAATCATTTTTCATTATGTTCAAAACAATGTTAGGAGATGTTTTAAAGCAGAACGGAAATCTGTACATAAACTCTCTAGACGAATAAACGTCTCGTGCTTTCGCGATCGGTCGGTACTGTAATTTGTTTCTCGCTGTTTAGAACTAATTTACCGTGGACATATGTTTTTGAATTCTCGGATAGTGCGCAAATTAATCATTAAAAGCTTTGCGGAGTATCGGATTTCATGCGTACATCTACCGGGTTGATTTATGATAAATGTCGACACAGCATTGCCGGTATAATGGTCATCTACGTCCGAGTGCATTTATTTTTAGTTTTAACCTTCTTTATGAAAAAAAAAAAAAAAGAAATAAACCGAAGGAAATCAGTATAGATGCCGTGCGCGCAGCATGTACAGACATAATCATATTGCTTGTTGGGTATTGATTATATTCGCGGGACCTACCTTTACGGAATCCACGCGAAACACGTGTTATCGCAAATACAATATAGACCAAAACTAACATAAATACTTTTCCCACGGGTTTTCGTAAAAGAAAGTTCAATATTAAATGGACGATCAGCAACATTGGAATGAATAAAACACGAATGAATTTGATAGAAATGTATAGAGAAAAACAAGGAAAGAAATTGGCATGAAAAATGTATTCACGGATATATCGTTTTTTCCGCGCTACTATAACTTAAATGTTAATTGTTATGTGCGATCAAATCGTGTTCTATGTATAATATCGAATAGTGAATATATATATTTAGCCCACCAAAGGTTGGTAAGACCTTACACATAACATAGATAAATATATTAAATTATTTTGCGTAGAGAATATAAAAATTCACAAGTCTTCCTTCGATAATTTTTACTTATTTATACATGATAAATTTTTTTGAATTGTTTTTCTTGTACCTGTACAATTGTTTTTTGATTAATTATTTTTAATCATACACACTTAATTGTTCAACTATCTAATCTAATCTATAGTCAATAATAAGTATAATCAGTCTATTTCTTCAAATATAATTTGATAGATAATTGTTATCATTCTTATATTTATATGATGCAAAAAAAAAATGTCCATATTTTTTTAAACGATTCTGTTTATACTTATACGAAAGATAACATTGAAAACAATGTCACTAAATCACTACTTTAAGTATAACTATTATATGAATTATTATTCAAGTTTTTTTTTTTTTTATTTAATAAATAAGACATTCCTAGCCTATGGCTATCTACATCTATAGATATAATAAAGAACATTAGTTTGTGGTAATTTTAAAGGGTAGTTAAATATAAATAAAATATTAGTAAATGAACAATGTATACAGATAAGTGAACTAAGTAATTATGTGATTTACAATAAGTAATACAAAATTATATAACAACAATAAACATATACAGATTAGAGACTGGAGGTTGAGTTTAACTAATTAGTTCGTGAGGACGGTCGCGTTTTAGACGTCGTTGAAGTGGTGGATGAATATGAAGATTATAGTGAAGCTATTATTTAAGTAATATATATTATTTGTATTATAATATACTTAATAAAATTATATAAATAAAAACATAAATCAACTACTAAATTAAATAAGTATAATAATTCTAAAGGTAAATGTTGTTTTTTTTACTAAAACGAAAATGTACTGTTTATAATAATTATATTTGACTTACAAAATAACTATGAAATTATGAATACCATATATTATCCGGAGAGAGTTAAAAAAAAATTTAGATAGTTATGATAAAATCTCAGAAATATTATAGGTAGGTACGCATAAAGATAATTGAATAAAATAATGTTTTGTGGAAATTTTTTATCAAGTGTCTGGTCTGATTTCAATTGAATTTATGTACAGCCTCAGGTGTTTCTAAACGATCTACGTTATTCTCTGCATCCCGATTAATATCGGTAGAATTCTATCTGGGCTTTTGGTGCGATTCAATTTCGACCGTTTTAATAAATCGTCAAACGTACGGCGTTACTGTAATACAAAACAGAAATGATTATAAACATGAAAACCATAAATCATATAAGTTATCTGATGTTTGCAGCCGCTCGTGAAAAACCACATAAATCCTTAAAGCCCTATCTTGATTAAAAACTACTAAGAGGAGTTATCAAAACTCGCGTGCCCATTAAAAAATATTTTTTCCCGTAAAAAAAAAAAAAAAAAAAATCACAGCATTCGTTCGCGAAGTGCTTCGCGTATAAATTATCACTAAATGGAACGCGGCCAGTGGAGAACACTTACACATTAATGCACGATATTATTAGTATCCACTGCCATTGTGATCGGTGCGTTAATATTCTACGCAGACGCTCAAACTGCCGAGTCGTTATGGGCTGTAACAATACGCGCTTTTGCGTTTGTGTACATTTGTTCAGAGAATACAATGCAAATTATAATGTACATTATGCGCGTCGGACGAAATCGATTCGTTCGGAAAACAATTGTACGTCGGTATCGCGATAAAATGATCGTTAAGTTTTTTCGATGTTTGGGCATAATAACACGTTACGGGTTTTCGAAAAAGGGCATGTGGGTTTGTGTGTTTATCAAAGCGAACGGGCTTGCCAAAACCGACTGTTAAAAAAATAGCAATAATAATAGCAATAATGTATGCGAAGAGCAAACCAGAACACGTGTAAAACGAACACGCACTTTCATCGGGATAACACAGCAAGGAGGTGGTCATGTTTTTTCAATTCGAACAATCTCGTCCGGCCGAGAACGTCCGAAAGACTCGTTCGACGACCAAGCGGATTGACGGCACGGCAAACATGCGGACGGCAATTTTTCTACGTTGGTTTCTATTGTTTTTCACCCAGACACCTATGGTAAGGCGGTTTTTATTCAAAACGGTTCGTTTGACGAATGCCCGCGTGTTCGTAGGACGTCCTATGCGCCAACGGACAATACTACAGCGGACCGCCGTCGTATTACGCGGTCGACTACTCGCCAAGAACGTCGTCTTCGAACGCCTCGGACGGCCGTAACGCGGTACGCGCAGGGTAACCTCCCTCTACGCTGTTTCCCAAAGTTATTTTTTTCACCCCGCGTTAAGTTTCTGTTTTTCTTTTCGCTGGTACAGCTCTCGGACGGCGCGCGGACGTTTCCGAACGGTTTCCAAACGGAACGTGTTCGTGGTCGGCACCGCCGTAAACGTATCTATTCCGATTGGTCGGACTGGAGCCCGTGTTCGGAGAAGTGCTCGACGGTCAGACAAAGGTTGGTGGTCGCGATTTCGTTGTTACCGTTAACAACCCAAGGCTCGGAACTTTAGGCATTTGCATATTTGTCTAGAAAGTGCATATTGAAATTCTGATTCGATACGAATTCGATTCATATTATGTATATTTCAGATATGAACGTTTTCGTTGCACAATTTTGCATATTTCGTTAATTTTTGTACCGATTCGCATATTTTGGGTTTAAGAACATTTATATGCATACTTCATAGATTTAACAACATTTTTTTAAAAAAACCGTATAGTTCAATAATCATTAAACTATTTTATTGATGAATTGGTCATCAGCGGCTATTATTTGTATTGCTCCAGCTACCAATGCACTTAACAATAATATCATAATCTTCGTAGTGCCGAGAATTCGTAATAGTGGCCACCACTGGCCCGTATTTATTTTTATACAAATTTACCACCGTATTGATGTTCTGTAACACGACATGAACAAATCGTATAACCACAGGTAATTCGTAAACAATTATGTTCAACCGTTAGGTTATCAGCTTGTACACAATTATTATTTCTGTTCGTTACAATACTGCATACGTCCGCACGCGAGCGACTTCATTGCACAGCGTGCACCAGTCAGTAGTCGGCCTATTATTTTTTTGAGCAATTGTTTTACAAATTCTCTACCGCCGCGTATTGTACCGCGTGTCCCGACGTTTTTTTCGACGCACGTGTACGCGCATGTTTTGGTACTTTTTAGAGCATAAAGTTCCGAGCCTTGTTGATAACGATCCGTCATTGTTCTGTTTTTTACCGATCACGTGTCCCGGGCTCCTCAGGCATTGCATCCGGTCGACGGTCTGCGGTTCGAGCGTCGTCACCGAACGGTCGTATTGTCTCACGACGTCGAGATGCCCGGGGCTAGCGATGGATCGCGAATCACCCGCGCCGAACAAAGGTATACGCCGACCGTGTGAAAGACGTCGCGCACAATCCAACAACAACAACAACAACGGTTTCGGTCATTGTGTTTTGTCGTATTGTCGCAGGGCACGCGGCCGTGAACTGGACGTGCGGCGGCGCATCTGTTGATCCGGCGGCGGCGGCGGTCCCGTACGCTTTCGAGACTCCCCGGTATTCCGTGAAGATAATGGGAGGCCGGCAGTCCGAGAAACTCCGTTGGCCTTGGCAAGTCGCGGTCTTCAACGGGCGTAAGGTGCGAACGGACCGTGAAAATTATTCGCCGATCGGTCGCGTACCGATTGTTTGCTGTCGTATTTTTTTTTTTTTTTATTTTTATTTTTTTTCCCTCCCCCTCCCGTAGAAACTTGTCTGCGGCGGTACCCTCGTCGCGCCCGGCTGGGTGCTCACGGCCGCGCACTGCACGAGACGAAAGTTATCCGTGCGGCTGAACGAACACGATCTATCCGTCGACGAGGGCGACGAGTTCGACGTCGGGGTACGTATTGAACCGCGCGCGTCACGTCCGGGTGAAATCGCGTTGTCGTTGGTCGTTAATCGATGTCATCCCCGTCAAGGTCGACCGTGTCGTCGTACACCCCGAGTACAATCCGAACACGATCGATAACGATATGGCTCTGTTGAAACTTCGCTCGTCGGACACGGAAACGAACGGCGGCTACCATCCGCAACCGGCTTGTCTTCCGGTCTCCGATTTTCACCAGACGAAACGGAAGCCCGCGCTGTGCGTGGTTCTCGGATGGGGAAAAGTACGTTCGCAACACTCGTACGGATCGCACGTGCTCCGGGAAGCTAGGGTACGTACGCTCGTTTCAAACACACCGCACGCGTAACGAAGTTTGTTAACTTCTCGAAACTTGTGACCATTGCGTTATAATGCGGATGTGTGTTTTTCTGAGCTTTAAAGTATTTGTCAGTATTATTTTACGTATACATTTATCATCGCGGTACGACTCTAATAAGTTATGACAACGCGATCATGTTGCATAAACCAAGAACGTACTTAGAAGCATCCGAATACGTTATCGGTCATTTTAAATCTCAACATGGGATACAATCGTGTTACGTTCGTTTTTATATTTAATAACTAATTAAACGTTTAGAAATATAAAATGTGTAGAATACGAAGTAAAAATAATTATAATTTTTTCTTATCAATGTGGTTTGTCAAACGATTTTTTCATCTGATAATTCTGTGCAAATCCTGTGTCACTAGATCTTAGAAATCGAATCATTACTCACGATGATGACGTTTGCTGATGCATTGCACAGTTAACAGTTCAATTGTATTAATTAGGGTTTCAAGACAGCGGACGAATTATTTATTGGTTTTATTGATAACAAAACGTTTAGAATAGCTCGAGATTTTTTATTATAATATTTTACACTTTTAATCAGAATTAAGTTAACATATTTTTTTTTTTACTTATTTCAAGTAAAATATATTTTTAAAACTGAGTACATTAGTTACAGATTATCGTTTTAAACGAACCACCTTTAGCAAACATGAGTTAGAAATTTAATTTAAAATGTAATTTATACGTAAAAGCTTTACTTAAACATTTATTGTTCCTTCGTTTTTTCCAATATCTATAATAATAATGTGTTCGTAAGGAAAATTGAAACCGAATTATGTCTTATAAATATTATACAATTATTTTGATGGGTCGATAAATAGTGTATTTGATTCCCTTTACATATTTTAATAAAATATTTTATCGTTATTTTTCTTTCCTTCTAGATGAAACATTGAAATCCATGCATACTTTTCAAATGTCTATAAATATAGTTTGCGTTATATTGGGCAATATTGTTCTATAAAAACCGACGATATAATAAACACACGGTCAAATAAATAATAACAACCGGTGAGGGTACATTTTTGTTCTATTTCTACATCAACTATTCAGAAACCATTAAATCATTATTATCATTAATACCGATCCCACGGTATTAACACACGTCCAGCCTCATCACATGTGCACGCACGTAACAGGATAAATCGTTTGGATAGCAAGTTACAGATGTCACAAGAATGTGTATTATGAAAAACATACACCCTCCTTGCGTCACATTGTGTAAAAATCCATCGTAATATTTTTATCTTCAAGGCTGTAGTACTGAACTGTAAATATCCATTACGGAAGTGGTGTATATTATATCATCGCACAAGGGTGACAAATGTGGTGCTAAATATTGTGTTGGAATCATTTATTCAAATTGAAAATATCGAAAACAAAACAGTCGTGTAGTAAATATTAATGCGTTCGCGTATTCGTCGATCGACTCTAAGTGTACTATGACGATTTTCCGTGCATAATAATGTGAACGTCGAATAAAAACCAAACGGACCAAAATGCAAATGCCGTGTTCGAAAACATAAAAACGAGTGGGCACAGCGATATAGGAGGCAATCATTTCTTATTAATGTTGTCTATTATTTATTATACCCGGGCGGTTCACGTCATGTACATACTTGCGCACATTCGAATATTTTTTTTATTTTTTTTTCACTTTAATCGCACACGAACTTCGGTAAACGTTTTGACAATATTGACTTTACGTTATCGTTGTTTGAACTCCGTGACATTTCATGTCCACACACACACACAAGTCATATATATAGCGACATTTATATTAACATAGCTGTAGAGTATTTTATTGAGAAGTGTAAAAAAAAAATAATAATTACAGTGTTCAAGGATTAGTGGCACTATTTTTTGGGTACAGAAATATATTTGAATACTCTCGTTTTAAATTCCCTAATGATGTACATTGATCTTATATTTTTTTTTTCTATAATTTCTAACATTTCAAGTACCCTATTCAATCGAGACATATTTTTTTTTGGAACTTACTATTGTCCGGTTAAGCCGATGAGTGGATAGTCGAGAAACAATTACCGAGAACATTATTCTTAAATGATAACATTTAAAAACACGTACAATCGTATCTTTGCCGGGTTTTCGACGTAACACATCCACTCAGTCAAATCATCCAATATTAGAACAATACAGGCATTTCAGTATATTTGTCTAACTTTAATATCAGGTGCTCCCTGGTACATCTCAAATGACTCGCTACATAAAGACATTTGCATTAAAACTTCAAACAATCTCGCTACGCTAACTTACAAAAAAAAAAAAAAAAACATAAAACTTTCAATACTCGACTGTAATCACTCATCTTTCATCCAAACAAATCTCAGGTGACCCGCCCAGGCTCTCTAAAAGGACCTAGTGTGGAGACCTATTCTCTTCTTAAAACATTTTCTATGGGGCGCCGCTAATGGACGTCTTCCCCTTCCTGTCAATCGAATCTCATCCAATTTATTCATTGTATAACACTGTAAATACAGTTTGTAAATAAAATTTTGTTTCAAATAAAAAAAAAAATTGAAAAAAAAACACATAAAAAACACAAAAACACAAGCTGCGTCACACGCTTCGCTGAAAAGAGTGTTTCGCTCGGGTATATGTTAACGGTCGGGGGACGGACGTACTAGCGTCATTGCCGGTGCTGGCGTACAATATTTTATGCTAAAACGATGCACGCAAGCGGTGGCTATCGGGACTAAAAAAATAAAAAGACGAATATATTCGAGGATCGCAAACTCTTGGGGGAGAAGGAAGATTTTCCGCATCGGCACTTATCGATTTAGAATGCGCTCGATACCACGGTTGCGTTTTTTAGCCATGCAAATGAAATCCCGCGAGTATCTTCTCTTCGACCGCCACCGAATCCGTGAGTGACGAGAAACTTGTTTGGCGTCAAGGTTAAGGGCGGATTTAAGGGGGTTTCTAAGGGGGAATTAGCCCCCCCCATTGGGACTAAACTAACTATTTTACAAAACCAAGTATTATGATATATTGATGTATTAATTATTATAAAATATCGTCAATCGTCATTGATGAATATGGTACCTATTTTATATATTTTTTTTATAAACAAATAGTTCATTTTTGCTGTTAATTATATGTATATACCTTTGAAATTGTTTCAAATTAAAATTGATACCAATAATGTAACTATTTAAAATTTGTCACTGTTGTGAAAAAAATTACTTATTTATGAGGGACTTAAAAACATATTCTGTAGTTTAAAATTTTATATAGATTTAAAAAACAACTATTTAAATTCTTGAACCTCATAAGCCCACTAATCTAGCTCAACTAGCCGTCGTGTTTGTTGGCGTACGTGACTGGATGCACGCTTGCACAAACCGCGTATTTCATTCGCACAATACCACGCGAGTGCTATTGTCGATTTGACTGGATGTGGCGATGTAAAAAGTGAGGATGAAAAACCTTCAATGGTAAAAAGTCATCAGGTGTGCAAGCAATGGTTCACGATTAAATATCGATATTTTGTCGTACGAAAAAAATCGATGTGTCAGTGCAATAGCCTTTTTTATTTTTTTTTTTTATTTAAAAGAATATATTTACAATCTATTTTTACAATAATCAGTAAGTGTGATAACAAGGTTTTTTTTAACGTTACAAATATTGGAATAGGAAGACCCTCAGTAGTGCCACCTGACAAGATATTACATTAAGTTACAGCAATAGTCTTAAACATAATAGCCCCTACATAATATATTGCAGCGGAAGTGTGGAACTAAATGAAACGAGAGTGCTTAGATGGATGAGTGGAGTGACAAGAGAAGATAGAATAAGGAACGAATATGTGAGCGGGGTAGTATTGGTGTGACTTCGATAATGAACAAGATGGGAGAAAATAGACCGAGACGGTTTGGGCATGTGATGAGGCGAGAGAAAACAAAAGCAGTACGAATGGTTATGATAACGATCGTGAAAGGGAGAACAGAAAGAGGAACACCAAAAACGTTGGATACTATTGAGAATGGTATAGTCGAGACGGGTGAAGGTTTAAGATAAAGGTAGCCGACCCCAAATGGTTTTGAGAAAGGTGAAGGAGCAGAAGATAAAGAAGAAGAAGAAGTGCAGAACCGATGTTAGCATATTCCGTGTTACTTGTTACTGCTACTATTTCATCATTATCACCAGTGGCGTAACTCGAAGGACGTTCCGAGCAGGAGGAGAGGGAGATATTGTTCTCAGCGTGTAATCGAGTATTTATTTATTTCACCGGATGATGATGAACTACGACATTATTTTGTCATCCGCACCGGGGTGCGACACGATTGCGTACGGATCTTTTTCACTGTTACGATTGCGCACGTTCTGTCTACCCAACTTAGTGCATTGTTCCCGTAATGCAATTTATTTCAGGAAATTTGTGAACTACATGTTTGACGTGTTGGTATTTTTACTCATAGTGTAATATGTAGGGCTCGGAACTTAATGCATTTAAAAAATACAAAATATGCATGCACTTATACGCTTAAAAAAGTACAAATATGCACTTATATTTTATTTTTGTACAGAAAATTTTCATTTGCACAAATATTTTTTAAAATTATAAATATAGAAAAAGCAAAGTAATGAAAATAATTCTGATTTTTAAATTTTAATCATAATTTAAATAATAATAATAATAATAATAAACTAGTATTAAAAATGTTTCTTGAATAGAAAAAATGCACTTGTAGAATGTTCAACAATCATTGAGCTGTTTTCCTAGAAAAATATTTATAGAAAATCATTGTATTTCGATAGCAACTGCTCCTATTTGATATTTGTATAATATTTTATTTTAGATGAAGCTAACTGTAGTTATAATTTATAAATATATATATTATATTAACCAATAGAGGAAAACATTGTTTTTAATGTCAAATGGAAATTTGAAAAATACGATACAAGAATATCAAGAAAGTTCTTTCAATATGAATGTATTTATTTTTTTATTTTTCGAGTTTTCATACTGAATCTTCAAAAATCGTAAAATATGCTCTAAGAAATTGTAAAATTAAGAAATATGCTATAAAATCTAAAAATCACTAAATATGCAAAAATATGCACTGTTTTCGTAGCGTCTTGCAATGAATTTTTAGCTCACTTAGCAATAAATCCAATGGTGCAAAAAAAAAAAAACACGTAAATGCAACAACTTCCGAGCCCAATAATATGTGACAACAATCAGGATTACCAGTGTCGAAGCGTCATAGGAGGCAATGTCTACCCACTTTTAATACGGATACATAATTTGGTTTTATTATATTTTATTTATTTTTATATGATATATACTTCAATATTTATCATAGTTTTACTTATGTGCTATACCGTATTAATATTCTTAAAATAGATTAGTTGCGGACCGTGCACGCGAGCTGTCGTCCGTTGTGGCGTAGTGGTTAATTCTATAAACATCCGAATACAGATATAAAAATTAATATTATGAGACGACGCGTTGCAGCGTCTCGTTTTTCAAGGCACGGTTTGCAGGGGGGAATAGGTTATTGAGTAGGGATTATCATTGCGCTATGAGACATGTCTCGCGTTCGTATTTATTATTTAATTTTAATATTCATTATTGTAATCGTCATTGCTTTTCGCGTTGATGCGTTATCGTTCAACGCAATTTTGTTATCGTAGTTATTGATTGGTTTTTATTTAACGATTTATTTATTTCTGGCGTGATATTCATATCGAAATATTAAAATATTGTACTATTGTCATTCGCCACTATGTCTGATGATTTAATTAATGAAATGTTGAATGATGGAATTGTAAAATACTCATACGAAAAAAAATATGAAATAAAAAATAAAAGACCGTGTCCCTTTTATCATAAATACATATAACGTTATAAATAGGGGGGGGGCTGTAACGTATTATTTTAATGTCTCCACAATTTAAATACTCGTGCTTCGCCACTGCGGATTACAAATATAATATTGGTGAAATATACGCGTCAACAGCGTTATTTTTACTGCAGTGCGTATTGGCCACGTGACACTAGTTTTCGTACGCAGTCGTAATGTTTTTAGGGGCCATGTAGAGAAACCGTACGAAATAATCAGGGCTGTCATTAGGGAGAGACAAAGCGAGGCATTTGTCCAGGGCCTCGTACCTTCAAGGGCCTCACGCTTAAAATTTTAATTGAAAAATATTTTGTATGGAAATCTCATAAAATAAAACGTGAAACGCGTGGATCGCTTGGCGAATGCGATTTCTTTAGAAATCCGTTGGCATATAACAAAGCAAATTAACAAAACAATATTATATTATATTTAATAAGTCATGAATGCACCAACGATGACCCTTATGTTACGCCACACGGTATGAAACTCGGGGATACCTAGAAAGTTTATCTTATCGCATGTCTTAAATTTAATTAGTTATTACCCGTTACGGCGTGCAGCCTGTCATCGAGTCTGATTACATATTACCGTATTTAATAACGGCCTTCAGGTCTACAGGTGACTATGGTTAATGGTAAAATAAGTTTTGCTCAGGGCATCGCAAAAGGATAGCGTCGGCCCTGGCAATGGTAAATCACCGGCACGTCACATTCCAGGTATTATTTTTATACCATCCGTATCGCTCCGCGTTCGAAACAGTCGGCGATCGTGCGTCCGAATCGGAAAATCTTAAACATTTTAAACGTACGGAAATGGGGGCGGCAAACACCTTTTCCTCCGCCCACGGGCACGGATTACGTTGGCGATAATCGTTTTGTTGTTGTCCAGCAGGTTCCGATCGTGGGACGGCGGACGTGCCGGGCCGCGTACCGGCGGTACCTGATCACGGAGAACATGATGTGCGCGGGCTACAGGGACGGCCGGTCGGACACATGCGCCGGCGACTCGGGCGGGCCGCTGTTGTGCAGGATGCGCGGCCGATGGACCGTGGTCGGCGTGACCAGTTTCGGCGACGGGTGCGGCCGGCGGGCCAAGTACGGGGTCTACGCGACCGTGGCCAACAACGTGCGGTGGATCGTGTCCGCGATCACCGGCTGAGGGACGATCCGCGGCGCGGCAGCAGAACGCGGTACCGTGGGGAACGAAGCTGTCCGACGCCACACGAAAACGGAATGTTTACTACTTCATTACGGTGGAAAATCATCCTGTCGAGCTTTTATTAGTCTTGTCCAAAACCATACCGCCATGAAAAACTATAAAATATTGGTTCAATGTCTAAAACGGTTTTAACCATGTTTTTTTTCTATTTTGGTAATACCATCTAGTCTGGTGGTCAGGTCTACGTCGAGATCGACGATGCGGTAAGGATATCGTGAGGAATGGGGGAATGGGAGCAGGGATCGTATGCAGGTATGCGCGTAAGCACGGATCCACTAGGAACTAATAATATCTTGAACAGTGGTTTCTAATTGGCGTCCGCATATTTATTTTAGGGGGTCCGCGGTCGTGTAGTACTGTAACGATTTTATATTTTATTTTAGTGAAACTATTATATATATATTACGGTAAATGGTGTTAAATGGAAATTAAAGTTATTCGCCGATTATTAACGTTATTTACCAAATACACAGGTAATTATCGTTATAAACCGGATAACGCGTTAATGACCAAATATACAGGTAATTGTTGTAATATACCAGATATGCACGTGAATCTCAAACAATACTTACTACAATTTGAAAAATGATGTATCTAGGTACCTATATTTAAAAATAGAAAAAATACATTATTATTTTTTATTTGTTTTTACAAGTTATACTCCTATGACATTTACTATTACATAATTTTTCAGCCCCACGGCAAACATAACGCTTATTATTACAACCAGTCTTACAATGGCAACGCTGATACCCTTGAGGGCCCGTAACTGAACTATTACTAGCTGCTTCATTCAGTGTCAACTGTCTACTACCTGCTAGTTTTATCACATTGTCCATGTCTAATAGATTTTCTTCGCAAGTAGCTATTTCTCGGAGTGTGTAATTGTATTTAAAAAAACCATGTTCCCTGCCTATAAAATAATTAAAACATTTTTAATTTTAATAATATATTTTTTCATTAAGAATTAACTTACAGAGTTTGTATAAGTCATGTTCAACTTGGGTGACAACTGCCAGTATATTTCGCGGAGAACCACGAGCTCTATCAACGTCTGGTATAGTTACACGTACAGTTGTGCCTATTTCAAGACGAGGAAACTTTTCTTTAGAAAGTTTCATAATTTTCTTTCCTCGTTTTTCTAATTTTTTTTTTTTGAATTTTTACGTGTAATACAAATATTTTCTTGACGATCATCTAAAAAAATATTTAAAATAGTTTAATAAATTATAAAAATAATAATAATTAATTATTAATTATAATAATAATTACCTGTGTATTTGGTAAATAACGTTAATAACCGGCGAATAACGTTAATTTCCGCTCTAACATCATTTACTGTAACATATATATATATATATATATTTTCTTTTTAAAATATGTATGTGTTTAATATTACAAAAAGATTTGTCAAATAAAAATAAATTGTACATTTTTTTCCATTTTTATAATTAAATAAAATTGAAATGTAAATATTTTCAAAAAAGGTGTCCCCAGACCAATTTAAGTTATAGCTAGGGGTCTGTGTCTAGTGGCTTCAGACTAATTGGGAACCACTGATCTAGAAATTCGGGGTTATCAAGTCCCTTCGAAATCGATTGTATTACCATATAACGCGCGGTAATGTAAGTTTTTCTTTAATATCATTATGAAATATCTCGTTGTTGATACTTACAATCTATACAGATTTGTAAAACAAGCATGTATTTGTTTTAGAAGGGCTGTAACTTGAGTGTTTGACCAGGAGGGAAAATCTGAAATTGACTTGATTAGGTTTGGTTTATTTACAGAAATTCTCTAGACCAGTTCCGTTTCAGAGGCTTAGTATAATTTTCCGGTAGAGTTTTCAAGGCCAGCTTGATGTTGAGTGGAACTTGATGAGACTGTATTTTAATGTGGAATTTTTTGTAAAATGTTGAGATGGTTTTGTTAGTATTTGGGATCTTTAGGTTTGGCTGAACTTTAGGTGACGGTAATTTAAATCCAAATGGGCTTTTATAATAATCACTAAAGAAACAGTATTAATTATTTATTAATAAAATGTAATTTTTTTTAACAACGTTCATAAACATTTTTCCGTGACCATGATAATAATATTACGATAAATATAGTTAAGTGAACAATTTACAATTTTTTACTATTAAGATATAAAACTGTTATAAAACTAGTATATTATTTGATATTTTGATAGTCAATCTATGGGGTCAGTGATGACATTATATTATTTCGATGTCCGTTACCGAATGTCGAATTTCTAAGTGTCGTAAAATTCTATTGCAGTGGTGCTCTTTAAAGCTCCCTATCGAAAACCAGGAATGCCAACACTTTAATCCCAATTCTACAGCAATGGTGCATCGATGATTTGTTGATTTTAATTTGTTCCTTTATAATGCGCACGTATTTATAGTATGTATTGGTTAGGTCAGCATTATCAGAACTATTAACTTATTAAGTTATTTTAAAACGGTTCCGTCCAATTACTACTGTATTAAAACATAATCTTTACAAATGCAAGAATTGCACTCATTATACGAGTAGTTTGATTGAATTCAGATGTGCCCGCGTGCCCCTTAGATTATTTTCGTTCGAGGACCGTTGTAACGGTTGTTTAACGGGAAATTATCTGTGTTCGTTACCTATCGTACGATTACAGCGTGGTGAAACCGCTTGAAATTTAAATTGTTTCAATTCGTTTTTATTGTTACGATTGTTATTTTTTTTTTTAAAAAAAAAACCTTGCGCCCGGCGTTCCTCCCTTTTTTTTCGCGTACGTGAAATTTATCACGCGAAGTGAACCGAATCGGTACAAGGGGTAAAGCGTAGACAAGCAAACATACATTGACGTTCGTACACGTTAACGTTACGAAAATGCTATCGCTGCGACACGGAATCAATGGCCGAGCAAACCAACCGTTACTATATTGGCCGACGGTTTGTGTGCGGAACGTGCTCGCACGAGTATTTCGTTCGATTCCTTAAGTCCTTAACCGAGTCTCGAGCACGGCGATCAAGTTACCACCACGAGCGCAAACGCTTCACGAGAAAACCGACCAGTTAGACTTTGTAAGAGTAACTATTGCATTGCTTTCCCGTAGTCACCCGTGTCGTTCATTGCGAGCAACGACAACGTCGGTGTAGTAATAAACGTGACTTCGGTCGCGTTAAGCCTTAGAACTGAAACCGTTATCAACAAGAGTCGCGCAAATAATTATGAACGACACTGCGCGCCGTTTTAATGGGGTACTAATTATTTCAAACGAGTCGTTGGAGGTTATGGTTGTTTATAAAATATTTACGGCCACCGCATGGCCACGTGATAGGGCATTACGTCAACGGTATTCGTTGCAATTACAATTGTATTTTTCAACTCGTTTTATCGGCTACAAGTATTTCGGTGCACTTAATTTTAAAACGATACTGCTATAATATTTTTTGAAGTACACCAATTACAAACGTGTTAGCATCAACGGAGCACGTCGAACTGTTTTTGAACCGTTCGTTGGACGCTGTACAATATTTATAATAAACCCGAACGACGCGTTAGATAAAAGTTATCACGAAATAAATGTTGTCGTTTACTACTGTCACAGTGCTTTTATAGAATTTATAAAATAAATGTACATATACGTATCCGGTTTAAAGGTAAATCTGGTAGTGGTAAACACAGGTTTGGCATGGTGAACGAGTACAATTTGAACAACGTTTAATCGAAAATATTTATTTTAAATGTGGACTTGTCATTGTAATCATATGCCTGGTCAACGCTAAAACTGATACGGTGATCGGATGTAATTTACTATTTATAATACATGCGACAAACGTACAAGTTAATGTCAGCATTATTATTAGAATATTTATTTATCTAGAAAACACACTGAAACAAGTTACTAGACCATTTTATAATCTACGAGGCCAAGGTTAGGACCACTGCACTTATGGCATAACCAGAGCAGTTATTGATTATACAAGGGTCCTTGGGTACATAGATCTTAGGGGCTGTTTTAGAAACAAAAATACGTTTATTATATCACATCACCTATTGATTTCTAAATTATAATAAACATTTGAAATTCGAAACGATATTTTTAGATCTACTTTTTTGTATCAATGATATTATTTTATCACGGAAATATAATAATAAATAACTTTTTAGTTTATCACTGTACGTCTATAACTTATTAATCAAATTTATCGCTAAAGAAGTAATCGTCGTAGGTATTTAAAGAATTTACATTTTTAGTTGAATAGTACTAAATATTATTTTTTAATTATAACTTATTGTTTAAGCTTTACAGTCAAATATTTAGTTGAGTTAGGTTGCATCAATGTGTTACAACGCAATGATGTAAATTATATTTTTCGAAGTTTCCGTCGGTAGGAAGCCCCTTGGGGCTAACCTAACTTGGGGTAAAGATGTCATTGGGCATACAATTTACACAAGTTGACACAGATATAAAAGCTGCTGGAATTTCAAAAAGACATAATAGTAATACATGTCAAATTATATAAGTATTTAAATATGATACTTATATTTTTATTTTTATTTATTTCTAATTAATCAATAGCATCATCAATGTACAAATGTATAAATATTCATTGAAATCCAGCATTTTTATTGTTCGTATTAAGTTAAGCTATAATATATTTTTTCCACTTGACACGGTCACTTGTCTTGGTTACTTCTGGAAATTGTATTCAATGCTTATTCTATGTATATAATTGTCTACAGGCACAAAATGGCTAAAAAATTGTGTTAAAAATATAAAAATGGTATAGTATGGCTTAAGAAGCTCGGGCATTGTTTACAATGATTATTTTTCCGTAATCGTATTAAAATATCGACTATCAATAATATTACGGTTTATCATAAATATGAAGTGAATTTCTATAGTAAATTCTATGGTTTTAGACTTGAATTGGGTAAATTATTAAAATTTCCACTTTAGGTATTGTTAAACCCTTTAATGCTCATGAAGAATTGAAGTTATCATATGTAAATGTTACGTGGTTTATTTTACTCGTGATAATAGACCAAATAATGAGACGGCGAATCAACTTTTTGAAAGTTCAAAAATGAGGACCAACTTAATGTACTATAAGTATTTATTTTTTTTAACAATTTAAACGATTTAGTGTATGCAGATTTTGAAAAAGTGGCTATATGTAAACTGCAACAAAATGAACCTTTTTTTTAAAAGTCGATATGTAAACTGCGGCAATTTAATTTTATATACCTACGGTATCATATACTTTATATAGTATTTAAATCATATACACCTACCTATGTGTACCTATGTACGTATATCGTTTAATTAATTATTGTTATGTTACCGTCTTCCGTGTTCCAATGTATTATTACCGCTTATTTTTGATACATATTTAAATTTGAATTTAAAATTATTTGACACTAATACTTGTTTGTTATTCTGACTAAACACTGTTGAAAACTCCATCACGTTGGATTAAATATTAAAGTTTTAACTACTTCCGCTGACATCCAACACTAGTAAGTAGGTACTAGTATTATCAAAAGTAGAGGAACTAATATTTAGTGTGTTTCGTAAAAACTTAGAAATACATTTGGATTTACCTTGTCATTTTGTACGCAAGACGCAACATAACATAGATAATTAAACGATATACGTAGGTATATATTACCTATGTACACACAGGTATATATTATATAATATCTTAGGTACGTAAAATGAATTGCCGCAACTTGTACAATATATCTTATATCTTATTGGTTTAGTCGCAGATTGTATAATGTTAATTTTTTTGTTGCCGCAGTTTACCATCTCTTGAATAATTAAATATTGAAACAGTAGTTATGAAAAATGTCATGGTTTTTACATATCTTTCATATTTTCTTCAAGTAAATTCATTTTTTTTTTTTTTAATTAACGATTTTTTACACTGCAGTCGATTGAGCTGCCCATAGCGTTGATAATTACTTAACAAAAAAAAAAAAAAAACTATTTATTCTTCTAATCTTTCATAACTAACAACGTTGCACTATGGATTCGATTATTTTCGTAAATTTTTGTCTGCTTATATCGTAATAGATGTGAAATATATTTCCTTATTAATCAATGTAATTGTTTATTCCCAATAAAATACAATTTACTTCCGTTAAAATATCGTATAGAACGTTTTGTTTATTTTCACGTCCACCAGGAAAAATACATTCATACATTTTACAATAATAATAATAATAATAATAATAATAATAATAATAATAATAATAACCATAATGTGTTCCAACAATATGTAGGTATTACATATTTTTGGTGAACATTTTGTTTTCATCACGCGAAGGGTTGACATTAAAAACATTATCATAACAATGTAACTAGTCTAAATATATTATATATATATATGTCTTATATAATATATAATTTATTATTCAACGTAAAAGTTTACAAACACCGAAAACAACACCAATATTATTACAATACCTATTTCGAGTAATTTTTTCATTCTGCCTTGGCGTTGTTATTTATTAATTACTTTTTATACAGAAATATTTTATGTCCCTGAATTCTGATAAAATCACAGTAAAAAACAAGTATGCGACAATGCGCTTGGTTAACATTTTTAAACTTAACACCGTATTCCATTAAAATATGGAAACAAATAAACTTTAAAATTTTTTATTGTTTATAGAATGTTAAAGTTATTTTTTTAAAAAAAAAAAAAAAAAAAAAACAAAACAGCAATAAACAACATACGCCAAATCAAATAACACAAAAAATCAATAACTATATAAAATCGATAAATTTGGATAATTTTCATGAAACTGATAATTTGAACGATCGCTTTGCGGGAGTAAATCATTATTATTTTTTAAATAAAACGTTAAATGAATATGATAATCTTAATCATCAGGTACGTAATATATAAAATTTATATTTTAATAAATTTTTTACAAACATTGATTTTGTTTAATTTTCATTAAAAATTTAATCATTATATGTTTACATGTAACTTGAAATCTACGTAGAATCAGTACAGAGAATAATTGTGTTGTTGTGTTGCCTCGTGAAAATAATAACATTCCGGTTCCGAAATTGTTTCTTTCTACTGCTTTAGGGCATAATCGACTTACAGAGTGTACGCGAATAGAGACTAACGTTAAAAGCTGTAAATAATATACGAAAACGGTTTGTTTGCTACGATTTGAATGCGTTAAATTTGATGGAAATGCAAAAGGTTTTCTACGTATGATTCATAACAACACAGAATACGTTTTTATACGTTCATTTATTAGCGTACGGGATAGATTCGTCGAAAGAGGACGAGAAAAATAAATGCGGTAAAATTATGTAACCATGTGGGGATTTATTGCTTTCGGTAGGTACATAGAGAAAAATAGGGAGGTTTTAATGTGTCGATAGAGCACATTGTCAGTGCTAAAACATATCGTATCGAAGTGGATTTTTCTTTTTTTTTCTTTTAGAGGCGCCCGCAGACATTTCTTAAATAATCGGTCGTAAACACGCTGTTGTGGAAATTAATTTGGTAAAAATCCTAAATGTTTACATACCCAAAGAAATGTCGTGTAATACCGTAACCTACGGGAATGGTATAAGTATTGTAAAAACATGTGCGTACAATGTATTAACTGTAAATGATGATATACATCGACGATCGGCGTCGCACGACGATGGCAGTGCCGATACCTAGGAGACTTTTACCGGTCCGAAAACAACAAAAGTCCACCGTTTTTAAATCGGAAAATCGAGTCATACCTGTTCGGAATGATTGAGGTTTTCGAGGGCAAGTTTTTGGTCAACGCGTCGGGACGTATAAACGCGACTCGATGCCGATCGATTATTTCGTGTTGTAATATTGTTGTACGGATCTGACGAATTATCATTATAATTTTTTTCTCTCGATTATATCATAATAAGTTGGAGATTAAATGAAAACTATTTTAAGCACACACCACGAGTCCATGACTATTTTGAGTATCATAGACGAATTATTATTTACACATAAATATAAACGTTAACACTTCACACACTAATAAATTATACTTTTACCTTACGATTTAAATTATTTTTATAATTTTTTATTTTTATTGTTATTGTTATTATTTTAATAATTATGTGTTATTATTTTATCATGATATATTATCATATTATTATAAATAATTAAATTAATATTTTACGAAAATCATACAATGTAAATACCTTGGAATCTTAAATGTACACATAAGTTATAAACACAAACATAAACAGTTAAAAACTTGATTGTTTCTTATATTATTGTTATTATTAGTTTAAATATTGTATTTAATTACTTATTAATTTATGTAAGTACTTATTATAATTTATTATTATAAATAGCCATTTTAATGTGAAAGACGAAAGCTTTCAGCGATATGATAACAAAACATCATGTTAATTATAAATCTTAATCTAATCACAAAACATACACATCTTTGTTGTAAAAACTAAATTGTATTATTATTTTTAGCGGTCTTCTTTTCAAAATGATTTTTTTTTTATAAGTAAGGCTCGACGTGGTCCCAATCAGATCTATGTCTGCTGAGCCTTTCGAATACAGTCTTTTCGATTTTGTACTCCCCAGTGCCAGCTTGCTTGCACAGAGTGCTCAAAATGTCTTGATTATCGACAGTTCGCGTTGGTAACACGATCTGGAACAATGATTTTGAACAAAAAATTGTAGTTAAACATTTAATATTTTATATTATACGTTATTTTTATAACTATATTGTTATGTTTACGTTTATGAGATCGTTGGGTGCGATTTTAACCAAATTGATATCTTTTTTCAGCCTTGTCATGATATGATGAAACTCTTCTTTAGCGTTTGTTTTTGACTGACTTTTGTTGGTCGCCCATTTTATCATCGCTTGGAACTTACGAATTTCGGAAACTTCAAGCGGCCTACTCATTATCTGTTGAACCAGCGACTCGGAAAGTGTGAGGAAGTCACAGTGATTCAATACCTAAACACGTACGTCGGGTAAAATATAAATCATATACATGCATAACGTGCGAAATAAAAACAATATATACCCGCAACGCGTTCTGTTCGATGTACGTAAATATCAGATTTACTAATTCCACAGCTGAATTATACCGCCAGACGTAGTTTTCCAAACTGTTTAACATCAGACATATCTGAAACAAATTGATTGTTATGATGATCACACCGGACATGATTCGTTCTAAACACAATGTACTCACCACGTCCACCCTTAAATGTTGTTTTGTGTGATGGAAACACGCCTGCAACAGTTCTGGCAAATCATAGTGTTCCGCGGCGCATATCAATCCAGGAACGTTGGCACATGTGATTTTACAAGAGCTCGTATGCAAGTAATCCAGTAATATTCGAAATGTGTCGGGATCGAATTCGATGATGGAAAACTAAGGTAAATAATTGCGTTATTAATTTTATAAGTGAACAAGTATCGCAAACATGTTTATCCAGTATTCAGCAGTACCTCGGTTTGATTGAGTTTCGCTCGATCGATCTTGTCGCCGCCGTTATTCGGACAAACACTGACTTTCGGTACGGACAACTGAGCCAATCTCTCTTTCTCTTTTTCTTTGTCCTTTTCTTTTTCTTTATCTGCTAATATAATTTCAGTGATAATTATTCCGGGTTCCAGGAATGTTTGATCGTATTAATCTACTTACGGCTGAAGTCTTGAGAAGAAGCCCATTTCTTTTTATCGTCGGCCGAGAGGTTTTGTTGTTTTCTTATCGACTTACTCCATCCAGCAGTGATCGTGCCTAATCTCGTAAATGCTCTTCGCATCATCGGAGAGCTCGGTACACTTTTGGCCCTGTGCAGTATATTGGTTTTGTTTTTTATAACCACGTTTCACGTTGGTAACAAAAACCGGATGTGAAAATACTTACCTTGGTGTCTCTATATCGGGAACTTGTAAAAAGTTACTGCTTTTGGTTTTCTGGTGTTGTTGTGAGGGCAGACTTGGAAGACCTCGGGCTAGCAACTCAGCCACTGGCATTTGAGGTGATCCGAAACCAGTGGAAATCCCATACAACATTTCTTGGAATACTCTGGAACACAATTCCGTAAAAGTACTTTCGACTGTTTTAATTGTAATCCTTTTGAATTAATACATACCGACTTCTTACGCCTAAAATTGCTCGTACGCCGATAAATCTTGTCTTTTGCTTACTTTGACCTACCAAAAACACGACGTCAAACAAATGACCGTTCAAGGAGACGTTTGTTTCGGAGTTAATAAAGAATTTCGTGAAGTCTTTGGCTAACGTGTCATAGTCTTCGAACCGATCCCTAACCGAATCGAGCAACGGACTAGACGGTCTCATATGCCCAATCGGTCTCCACGAACCCCTCCTGTAAGTTTTTATGTTAGTGTCGTACGCAATCATTGCAGTATAGATTAAGTCTTACCTGTACGGCTTAGGTATCTGTCCGGTCTCGCAATGGTTTTGTAAATTAGCAACAATGTCTTCGAGCATTTGACTGCGAGTACGTTCTTGCATCCTGGCGAATTTCGGTGCAGAATAACTAGCTCGTTCGCCGTTTACTATCTTTGTCAAGATCCATTCCCGGAACATGTCTTTTTCTTCGAACACCGATTGCTCCCAAAGATATGGCTTATATGCTCCGACTTCATCCCTGGTCACGACGGATACCTGAAGAAAACAATTATTTTGTCAGCAATTTGATTCGATTAAATAGCACGCATTAACCATTAGATATATTTTACCTCGTATTTGGTTCTTTCCGTTTTTCTTCTGATTCGCGGACTAACTCTGACCAATATAAACGTATGCAGGAAATGCGATTTTATACAAGCTGGTGAAAATCGGGTATCATCAGCTTCCAGGAATACAACGCACACGATATCATTACCAATGTGTCTTTTTCTTTGGAGCTGTGGAATCGATTTTAAATATATAATTATATATTTGTACACTTTTTCTTTTGATTTTCGTTTGTCAATAATTTAACGTTTTATTTTTAGCTTACTTTTTGGGCATCGTGAGCCTCGTACGGTAACATAGTGGACACGTGAAACATGATTTCAATATTTCTCCAATTGGTATATACAGAATGTGTTCCAGTTAAATCGTGTACCGTGTCTAATCCTCCACGGTACTTGTCGAACCCTAAAAACAGGTGCAATGAATCAATAAAAACAATGTGGATTGCTCACTACGCAAAACCATACCACAAAGTCTTTTGGTCTCTCCTAAAAGTCCAAGAAATTCTTCAAATGCTAAACTATTTTCGTTATTATCCAATATCTCTTCCTCTGTAGTTTGACCTTCTTTGACGTAGATCACTCCAACTTTGAGTTCAGATTTCATGAACACTTGATCTAACTTGAGCAGTTCGTCGGCTGTATCAGGTAACTGACCGAGCACCAACGGTGGATTTAAATTGATCTCTTTACCTAAAGACCTAACCACTTCCTCGCGGTTATAGCGATCGGCGAACACACAGGACGCTGGTATTAGGCCGTGTACCGTGTAGCTAATAGCTCTGACCAATATCCTACGGGAAGGAAAATAATAATAATTATTATTATTATTAATTATTTTCATTTAAACATTTGAATGGCACGCGCACACGCAAACAAATACAAATATTTATACTTATTAGAATGTAACATTTTATATTACAAAATAATAAATAAATCTAATTTTTTTTCAATTTTTATTGAAAATAAGTTGCGCACCTGAATTGATCTCGGCCGTTAATGGTCTCTTGCTTGAGACTCAATATAATTGGACCCAGATCCTCATCATTTGTGAAGTAATTCCAATGTTCTTTTTGATAAAAGTACCTCTCGAACGTTTCTTGTTCTACGGAGGTCAACTCGAAACATCGGTTTTTCTCCCATTGTTCCTCGATTGAGGTTTTTGGTCTGCAAAATGATAAATTAGCAATTCGTTTTTACGATATTTCGTTCGCAATATAGTCGGAGTACCTGGGCGGCGGTATGACGTAATCGTCATCGTACGGATAATATTCATCATCTTCCAGTAGCAGACTGTCCGAACCCCTAGGCCGTCCGTACCTTGATCCAAAGTACTCCTGGGCGCCATCCGCACCGTCTGAATTCGAGCCGTTGTTTAACTCTCGCTCGTCGGATCCAGATTCTTCGACGCATCCAGTTTCACTTGTGATTTTCTGACGGGAACATTCGATCCAATAACCGGGAGCCGGCTGAAAGTTATGTGGCCACTCCTCGCATATATCATCTATAAAGAGAAAACGTACGTTTATAGAAACACTTAAAAATAACTAAGCACACGTAAAAATTAAAATAATGAAATAGGTTAATTGTTTGCAGTATATAGGTTTCGACATTTTCGTCTCAATCATTTTTCGTCAATTTGCTCAAATAATTGTAGTTAAACGTGGTTAAACTATTCTAAGTATAATATCCCTTATATTGGCGGAACACATTTGTGCGGGAAATACTTTGGGCTTGGAGGATTATGGCGAATTGTTTTCGATTAATTATGATAATATGTCTTACTTTGAAATTATTCTAATTTGAACAATTGTATTACATTTTTATTTGTTGTTGGAGTTAATTTTAATAATCGGTCTATAGGTGTTTTAATATTTAAATACCGTATATTGATCTTCAAATAAAAAGTGGTGAGATCAACATAAATTTATTTTATAATTGTATTAATTATGGAAAAAACACAGGATTTGATTATGAAATCAAACAATAGTACGAAACAACTTTAGTACCAAGCCATAAAACTAATGTTCGTTATTATTATTATACGTCTATAATATTAATCTACATAACGTGCAAAAGATAAAAGTAGAAATAATCTTTAAACTAGATTAACTATGAATTAGTATTGTAGGTAGTCATTGTGTTGTGGAACGGTTCATTTAAAAAGAATTGTTTACATTTGGATGGTTACAAATAGAAATTAATTTAGGTAAGTTATAAAATATAACATTATTATATATTTTACAGGTGTATCATTGTTTATCGTTGTTGTAATAATAAAGTATTATCACAAACACAGCGTGCGCATGTTATGTTAAAATCGGTCTACAAACTTTTAAATGAAGGTTGACAGCTTTTGATTAATACTAAAATAGGGTTAATATTTTTTATTAATTTTTTAATTTTTTTTTATGAACTAGAATGCACAAATTAAAAATACCCACATTAGAGTTGGTTTTATTACATTTATTTACTGCATTAGTATGTGAATAATGCATGCATTTATCTGTGAATGTCGATCATTGTAAGGTAAAATAATCATGATGAAAATATTCATATTGTGCTTCCGAACGATAGTTAGCAATACCTAAGTGTTTCGTCACAGCGTATTTTAGTTATTCAGCATAAATATGTAAGTACACCTCATGTATGTGTGTACATAAACCTACTGATACACACACTTACATAGTAGTTCGGTCAAATCAATATTTTCATACAATTCGGAAACTTATTCCGTCGTATACATATAATGAAAATACACCTTTTGGATAGACGTCATTATTTTAGATTTTAAAGTTAATAATAGCTTCTGCATGAAATCTAATCTTTTAATCCTAACACAAAATTCTTTTGTATGTTTCTGTGTACCCATTAAAAATAATCATTAATAAGGTCATGGAGATGGATTATAATTTTTTTCCGTTATACTTTTAATTCGATATTTTTGGAAATTTCCTCCAACACCGTTACCGTTGGTCATGTTCACGCACGAAACGGGTCATCTCGCAACATGGGCGAATTAATTAAAAGGGTTTTTACCAGGTTCGTCTATTTGCCAAACACGCTAGGCTGTTCCCTGATTGTTGTTGTCAAATGTGAATATTCTGATGCAGTACTGATGCCGGTCGCTTAGTATATTCACATTTACCACCCGGACGTACGAGATTACGGAGAGGGGAAAAAATTGATTTCCGGATCGAATTTCGTTTCGTGCGCGCGCCTTGGAGTCAAACAAAAAACGTGTACTAACCTGATTATATAAATTGGGTACCGACTTAATTAAGTTTAGTGATTCAATGTTATATGAACGACGCAATGGATAGACACATTTGCGTAGGGCAAAGAGATCGCTTGAACAAAGTAGCTTGGATAATTTCCTGATAAACATACACGGCGTCGATGTATCATCTGCATCCCACACGCGTATATCATATGGTTATGAAATCAAACAGATAAATTATTTAATTATTTGCACGTGTTACACAAGGGAATCATACCGCACGCCCTGGGTGGGTAATATCACACATAATATCCGCGTTGGATAACGATGGTTTTGTATAAGTATCATACGTATTCGTGTTTATAGAAACAAAGGGAGCTTTTGCATTATTTCATCGTTAAGAAAAAAAAAAAAAAAATGATAGCAATAAAAATAATTTTGAAAACTTTTACTGATGTCGATTGATTTCAATCTATACTGCTGTATAGTATTTTAATCCAGTGTTAGAAGAAATTGTTTCGATTGGTATTGGAATTTGCATAGTGTTGTTCAAAGGTCACCAATTAATATTTTTGGAGGGTCACATTGAGAATTTTGAAAATTTTCGGGGACTATCAAAATTCAAAGCATAACATATTAAAAAAAAAGTTTGGCAAATGATATATTTTAAGTCTCATATTGACGTTTAATATTGAAAACATTAAAAAAACAACTACGTTTGGTGGTAAATCAAATAAATTGACAAGGCCCCTGAGTGGCCGGGTAAATAAAACAACATAATTCCGTCTACTCAGGCAAAAACGATCTGTTTACAAATTCGACTGGTATTTTTTTCTTGTTCATAATCATATAAAAACAAGAAAAAAAAAAATATTTACATGAATTAAAACAAAGCAAGTAATAACGCAATACAACGGGAATTAAGTCAATGCAGGACGGCGGTAATGGTCTGTCGTTGAAGTGTAATCGGCACGTTCCGTAGACAGTCACCCATTCAAACTTTAAGATATGAGCGATAAGATATGCTTTAAAACAAGTTTAATATCGGTTTCCACCCGTATAAAACCAACGTATTTTATTATCGATTCGTTAACTTGTTTTCCTTGTCTGCGGGCTGGATAAAATGCGCTCATGGGCCACTATTTGGTGACCGCTGGTGGTAATTTATTAAATATTATTTGTGTGAATCATGTTATACATCATTGGTTGTGATTGCAGTTAGGTGACTACCAAAATGTTCTATGCATCTGAATTATTAATAATATTTTAGAGCGTAGATTTATTATAATCGAAGTGATGAGGTGTATTTTGGGTACAGTGTATAGTTGTGCATTAATTTTTAAAAACATTGAATCGTTATTTTATCAGTTTTCAGTTTTTTTTTTAGTGCTATGATACTACGATATATTACTATTGTTTTTATTATTCAAGTCATTGTTTGATCGATTAAATCGTTTTTCGATTACGGTAATCTGTGCGTTTAGGAAAGCCTAGAATTCTTATTTATTTTTAATTATTCTTTCGTTAAGTATTCTGAAATAGATACGCACGATTTTTATTCGACTATTTAAAAGTTGTAATCAAAGGGGTCAATAAGACGAGAAATTATTTTTTAACGTCGTCGCGTTTTTAACATTTTTTAACATCGCTGAACACCGGCTGCCCAAAAGCCTAGTTGCGCCCATGTGTATTTAATAATTTATCGTCAAGAGCACTCGTCTCGCGCGTGCGTACAGCAATGCGTGCAATAATACCGTGTACCAATGCGTCCGTCCGGCGTTCGTGTTGAACGAGTGAGGGTTCGGATGTACGATTGTTATTTATTTGTTCGGAGCAATTGCGATAGTTGTTCACTACCGCGAGCTCGTTCATCATTCGATCAGGTGAACGCGCACTACGCGTATTATTCGTGCTGTTATGGGTCATCGTCGACGACAAATGAAAACGAAATCAATAAAAAAAAAGAAAAGAATAAAAATAAAAATAAAAAAGCGTAAAACAACAACCACAGTAATGTAAAACACCAAAGCTGTAGGTTGACGACGAGACGCGATCAAAGAGTGGGCCGCGAACGTAATGGGAAATCGACTGTCAGCCAATCATGACGGTTGAAATCCGGTCCACGCCGTTTATCCGGGAACTTTTCGCTTATCTGGAAATTGCAGTGAATCGCAGAACCTGAGTCACATATCCTGTGCAACGCACCGTAATATACGAACGGGGGAAAAAAGGACGACGAACCTTTTGACAAGCCGACTTTGTGTGCCGTGTGGGCGGTGTATTGTATTATGAAACGTAAATCTCGTGTGCGAAAAAACGAATAAAAACGAATAGGTCGTCGATTAAAAATTAATAAATAATAGTATAATAATAATAATAATAATAATAATAATAGTTCGAATGAAACTAAATAAAATAAAATAAAAATTGAAATGTTCAGACGACGGGAACCAATAGTCAGCGGTTGTTGAAATCTATACAGTATTTATACATTCGTCGCCGAATTAACGTTCAATTATTAAACAAACACAGTCTGCATTGGAATATTTGCTATTTACGGTATTATAACACGTACTATACATGAATATCGTGCTGTTTTAGCTGTCGATTAATTCAAGCGATCGATATAATATGAAATTTAATTTGCTAACTTATACACGTCTGTTACAGTGCGATCGAGATCGGTTTTATTATATTGCGTTAAAACGGAGAGGAATAAAAAATAGGTGAACACGAAGGTAGAACAGTTTAAGTTTTGTTTTTGCTTTGCAAATAAAATCGTTACACGTGTATATTTACTGTGAAAATAAAATATGAGTAAGAAGATACTTGTTTGACAGAATGTACATAGATGTAACTGTAAATTGCAACAATCGACAGTTTGTAGACCGCAAATAGGAGAGTAAAAAGATAGTCTAATTTTTAATGTTTGCAAGTGAATGATCATTAAATCAATACGTATTGATTTAACATTTGTGCGCAGCAAATTTATAGATTCAAAAGATTAATATCGCATTAATCGATCAATATTTCGAATCATTTTATGTATAAAGAAAATTAAGTATGAAAAAAAAAAAAATATTATTTGTTGTATAGTAACTTTGAAGATTCGCATTTTTGTTTTTTTCTGTGAGAGTATTACCATCATATTTAAGTTGAAATATGTCGACTGTTTCGTTTTTTACGTTAAGAGTTTGAACAGAACCGTAAAAACAATTATTGAGAGAATAATGTTTAATCATTGGGACTTAATGTTTTCCAAAGGATCCAATGAAAAAAAATAG